TATGTTGTTATTGATTGTTTATAAATATCATTGTTTTTTTATAATAATAAAAAATTGTTATAAACACAAAATGGTCCGTATCTCCGAAACCGTTAATTTGCGGTCATATATTTATTAAGACTTTTCTGCTTATTTTGGGTCATACTATTCACCATTTCATTTTGTGACACTTTTTTTTAACACCCTGTATATAAATCTACTAGTGCGCGCGCAATGGCGTGCGTACATAATAATAATAATAATAATAATAATAATAATAATAATATTTATTTACACATAATAATAATAATAATATAAAAGTTTTACAATAATACACAAACATATGTATTGTAACTTCAATGTAAATAAATCATTGACCCCATTAAAACTGTTAAGTCGAGCATGGGAAATGCCAATTTTTATTAAAAATTGAAATTTTTATTAAAAATTACATACATTCATATACCCGTCTGTAAAGCCCATGTCCAGTGTTGCCGATTTCTTTTCACTTCTGCCTCATTTTTTGTTCGTTTTAAAAATCGTAATTATATTATTTTCATATATTGTTTAAAATTTTAAATTTATTTCTAAACGTGGACGAAGTAAAAATAGAAATGCTATTATTTATCGATTCTACACAAGAATAACTCATTTTTAAGAATATTTAATCTCAATAATTAAAAATATAATGACAATTAGGTCACATATCAAATTTGAAAAATAATAATAGACGGGTGACCAAAGTATGAACTGTGATTGGTGGATTTCATTTTTTTGCAGTGTTCTTACTAGGTAGCATACTTTTTAATTTTGTAGTCTGAGCGTAGATAAGCTGTAGAAAAACTTTTATTAATTATTTTTATTCATTTTATTTATAATGCAATGTTTGTTGCGATATTAGCCAAGGGAGTAGTTGTTTACAAGGGGGAAGTGGTCGCTTACTGTTTCTGTGACACGGTCTTCGAGCTTTTCTCTTTTTACTTTACGTTTTTTTTAAGTGGTCACACTTGAGAATTGAAATATTTTTCCTTTATATAATCCTTGTTAAATAATTCTAATTAGATTACTTATATAATTTAGACCATATGGATTTATTTTCCGAACCAGAATACATAAAATATGGTGATTTTTATGATGCGAGTCCGGTCCTGACTCTCGAACCTCCTCATTATAAAATCTAAGAGTAGTGCCCAAAAGTTATGCATGCACAAAGATTTTGGTCACTCAAACGTTACCATCCTGTGATGTGAACCTGGTGTTAAAGAGCATGAATTTTTGTTGTTTTTTATGAAAGAGTTTGTTAAAATTTTTAAGTTTATTACATAGAAAATATGAATACTTGGGATTCTTGAAAGTAAGTAGAAAATCGAAATTTTTATTTTGTTATTATTGTTTTTGGTATGAAGATTGCTTACTTATTTGGTACAAATACTAGTTTGTGCAACAAGAGTGGATATGATAGCCATATCGCACGAAAACGAAGTTTGAGCACGACGCCGTAAGCACAGTGTTCAATCGTCTGAATACGATACGGACAATCTACTCGAGTTGTACAGCATATTTTTTCTAGGGCCCACTAACGAAATTCTACAACTTTTAAAAATTAATTTAGGCCATTAAGATAAAATAACTAATAAAAATAATTTACAAATTTTACTAATTTATAAAATAATCTAGAAAAAAAAGATTTTATTCAAATAGTCTTCAATCAGATCTGAACCCAGACCTTCCACATAACTAGTAAGTACGCTAGTTTCTTTCTCTCCACACACTGATAACTAGTTTGACAGAATATCACTTATTTAAAAAAATTATAGTTGTCTGGTGACCACTGTGACCAGATATGAACTGTGATTGGTGGATTTCATAATTGTGGAGTGTCCTTACTAGGTAGAATGGATATGAAATATATTCATTCAGTTGAACGCAATGACCTACTTTTTCATTCTGTAGTCTGTGCATAGAATAGATAATATCCATGAGGATGTAGAAAATTACATTTTTCTTACTGTTATAGTGGATAAGGACAATCCACTCCAGTTGTACAGTATATTTTTTCTACGACCCTCTAACGAAAATCTACATATTTTAAAAATTATTTTAGGTTATTAGGATAAAATGACTAAAAAATATACTGACAATTATTAGTTTGACAGAACTGTAATATATTTTTTCTACACCCACATGTATATTAGCTTATCGAGGCACAAATTACCATACGAAAAAATATACTATTGCCATTAACTGAACGAATATAGTTTATATCCATTCTATGTAGTAAGAAAATGAAATCCACCAATCACAGTTTATATTTTGGTCACCCGAAGACTATTATTTTTAAAATTTTAAATATGTGACAATTCTGTCAAACTAATTGTCAGTATATTTTTTAGTTATTGAACTTAAATATACATTAAAATTACTTATTTTTGTGAAGAATCGATAAATAATAGCATCTCTATTTTTATTTATACTATAATTATAAATAATTTGTTAATTTTAATAAAAAGTCAATTTAATTACGAGTATTAAAAAAATTTCCCAAATCTGCCGGTGTATGGGTGGTGAGAGTATCTGCCTTCCACGCGAGAAACCCAAGTTCGAGCATCGGCTGGGCGTTTAATTTATTTTAAAATTAGTTATTTTGTCATAATAACCTAAAATATTTTTTTTATTTGTAAATTTTCGTTAGTGGGTCGTAGCAAAAATATACTATACAACTCGTCGTGCTCAAATTTCCTATTCGTGCGATATGGCCATCATATCCACTCTTGTTGCACAAACTACTATATTCGTTCAGTTGAACGCAATAGCATACTTTTTTTTGTAGTCTACGAGATAAGCTAGTATCCATTAGGGTGTAGAAAAAATCATTCCGATGGTTAAAATAGATTTAATTTCTGTACCTATCAATAGGGGAGGGAAGCAACGCACATATCTATATATTTTTATTTTTGTCTTTGGCGATACTTGAAATCTATACTATTTATTCTGTTTAAATAAAATCGTCAGCAGCTTCGTACAACAAATATTTGTACATCCTTATATAAAAGTATATTATGCAATGAACATTTAATAATTAGTTAGATATTATTCTCTTTCTATTCCCCATTTTAAAGGTAGATCAGGAATTAAATTGTAATATTTCAATATGATGCTTCATACAACTGAACAAAATACTTTAAAATGTAATTAAAAAATAAACAAATTATCTTATAAAGCCCAAGATTTTCAGTGACTTAGACCCACCCCATGTTTAAAAAATGTATACCATATTTTTGAAGCAAATTTAAGAGATAAATCCTTTGTCATGTAATTTGTAGGTAGATTTACATTTTTCACCTTCTTCCCAATGTTAGAAGTTTACAATAGACTATTAATAATTAACTGAATTTGACTGTCATATGAACACGGTTAAACAATATTAATAAATATGAATGTATAAAGAAATTTAAATTTGAAAATATTACTAATAGTAATAATTATGATTTAGCAAGTTGTGAATATCCTGAAATATCTAATTTTGGGAGCGAGGATGACTAAGAACTTGTTGGATATGTTTGTGGACAATAAGCACTGATGATGGCACAATGCCGAAAGCGCTTTGCATTTATTAATTAAAAAGTTTTGCACGAAATACAAGTTTTTCCTTTTGAATCTAAACTACGTGCACACAGCTGATGTCAACCTTTTTTAGTTATTTTAATATTAATAATTACTTATTTTGTACAAATTCAGGAAAAGTTATTCTTTAAATCCCATTGCAACAGTCTGAATTATTATTCATAAAAAAAACTTTATAGTTCTGCCTTGCTAAGACAAGAGGTAGTCTACAAAAATTCTGATTTCAAGATTTTTACACATTTGGTAAACTTACATTTGATTTTGTCATGATACAACTCAGGGTTAGTACTAGATTGTAACGAAGCTTTAGCCAAAGTATCTATCAACAATATGGTCACCTTAAAGGTGACATTTAGGAAGGCGAGACCGACTTCAAGCGACAGGCAGCGAGCAGCAAATCCTGCCGTGCTAAAAGTGCTGTCGTACGCCGCGCCGTCCCAAATGTTTCACATAATTACATGTGCTAAGACGTGAAGAGACCATTTTCAGTCTCTTTCGCTGTTCCTTTACTCGGTTTCGCCTTTCCAAATGGTACCTTAAAAGAGATCAAAGGTCACTCCACATCGAAAGGTAATCAATCATCTTGCTGATTCACTATTTAAGAAGGCAGCAAACCAAATACTTTTTGGACCCGGCCTTCTATTGAACTGACAACATCAGTAGTGAGATACCTAACAAAATAACATTCCCTTGTGAAATTCAAGGAAAGATGGGATAAAACAAGAAACTGCAGATTTTCCAGGGAGCTTTTAAGTTAGCCTGACAACATTATAGCTGACAAATATTTGACCAAACAGAATCTGAGCCTGATCACAAAAATTCTAACTGGTCATTGCCAAGTAAGAAAGCATCTCCATATCATGGGGTTGTCAGTGTTATATTTTATATTTTTTGTAATGTGCTATTACCTACGCTAAATAAAAGAGAAATATATTAAATCTGTAGGCTGGCTCATGAGCTAGGAGGTGCCTATCATCTTAGGAAGATGCACAATGGGCTTAGTGAAGCCTAAGTGTTGTGGGGGCTAACCCACCATCCACACGCTAGAGAGATCATGATATAAAGTGAGAAAAACCTATCTGCATTAGAAAACATTTAAAAATATATATAAAGGTTAGTCACAACTGCAAAACTTATCTATTTACGAAGTCTAAAAGAATGTACGTTCACTTATTAAAACTGTTCAGTTTGTAGAAACGACCTCTTTTCTTAGAAGGGCAGAGTTAAAGAGATCAATGATATAAATTACAAAACACAATAGTCCTAAAATGTACCCTCACTTTATTTTTCTAAAATCAGATTAATTTAGAAACTAGTTTTTGGGACCTGTTCAATTAAAATAGTATCTACTATCTACATTGTAATAAGAATTCAACATTGAACAATAATTTTCACAATGCTTCATAAAAATACAAAATACAACTAAAACAATTTATTTACAAAAAAAGATACCATAAAACTTAACTAAAACGCAATCTATTCTACTATTTTATTATATTTGTATTTTCCCCTCCATTCTTTAGGGACGGGGCATATTCCAGGACAGGGTAACTGCCCAGGAATCTCACAAATGCAGTGCCTTTCACACCCCTTACCGAAATTCGCTGGGTTATCCTTCTTTTCTTTTGCTATCGCTTCTGCTTCCAATACATCCCTAAAATTAAATTAAAATATTTAACTTTGAGCATTTAATTAATGATGTTTAAACCTTACTTTGTTTTCCCCACAACTTGTATCAAATGGTCATAGATTTCTTCTTTAGAACGGTCGTATGTATCAATAAGCATTTGTTCTCCAGTATCTGGAAATAATTTCATTTAAAAATTAACAAAAAGAGCAAAATTTTGTCATATTTACCATAAAAACATCTCACAAAAGGAGTAGGTGTCATATTCTTCAATGTAGCTATCTGTACTTGGGGGTTTTTATACTGAATTTGAGGCAAATACCAAAAAACAAAGTCGCTGTAATAAAAAAACTTACATAAAAGGACATTACAGAAAAATAGCACTAAAAACTTACTATGTACCGCGATGTGTTTGGCCATAGGTGTTATAATTCACGGTTACAATCTTGATTTTATCTTTTAAAACTAATTTTCCTGCTTCTAAGTATTTGATAGTTCTCCTTATAGGAGCACGTCCTATCATAAAAGGCATTTTTTACCTTTCAAATTATAACACAAACTTATTCATCAAGTATATCACAATTTATTATAAAATATGAGGTTAAATCAGGCAGAATGATTCTTCTTTTAATTTCGATCTCTCGACGTTCTATAGACTCTGTCTATTCGGCTAGTCGGTCACCCAAGAAGAAACTCGTGGATATTTAAAATTCAAATTTTAAATTGAATAAGCAATTGATGTTGAATGTTTAAGACAACAGTGAATTACTTTGGATTGCTGTATAATATATTCCTACTTATAAAGGCTGATGTATTATTAAAATCACATCAATCAAAGCTTTTCAACAAAATTATTGATGGTCTCTATCATTATTCAATATTGAAAGTGTGGCTGTAAATCATGGCTGTAAATCAATCTGAATAACAAAACTTGTATAGAAATGGTTTATAAATATATCTTTACTTGTAGGGAAATCATCGAGTTAGATCTCAATGAAGAAAACCGAGTGACATTTATTTTTAAGATACAAGGGGTGTTCAAATTGTTTATTTTACTCGTACATACCTGTAAACGTTTAAAAACACAAAATTTAGGTTTTAATTATAAAAACTAAATAGTCCAAAGTCCGTTCCTGTAGTTAACAAATTAGTTAAACAATTATGGTTTCAGAATCATGTTATTTTATTCAATTCAGCAGTTTTGCAAAAGCACGGAATGTCATAAAATATATTGTTATTAAATAGGTACAATGCATTGAGACAACTAAAAACAGTGCGGGATATTTCCAGAAACGAGAATTTTAGGTAAAAACATGTGTTTTAAGTTAAGAGGTGAGGAACCATTATAATAATATTATAATAAACAATATATGTATTATTAGAATAATTAAGTAAAAATATTTTTTTGATACGTACCTATGTTATAAGCAGTTGGGATTCAAAATAGTAGGTAGATATATTATTATTTAATGAGCAAGGAATGGTAGGTACTCAATTTTTAATATATGGTACCTATATATGGGGTAGATCACTATATATATTCTTTTTCAATAGCAATAACATGCTGCTACCCATTTTTATTTTTTTTTATAATTTATGAAATTAAAATGACAGCTCTCCTCTAGATAATTGAGTAATGTTTGACATTTCATAGCACATATGATTTTATTAAAATAATTAAGGAATAATTACTATTTATTTGTGTTATCAGATGAGTATAAGCATCTGATACGGAAATGATTACTTTGTGTCATAAAGAATTATCAAATAATAATGTACGTCACTTCTTAATCAACAATAGTTGACCTATTTTTGTATTATAGTAATAGAAAATAGCTATTTAATTTAGCTTAGGCGGCAAATAGCTTTCCGCTCGAGTTACATACAAGATTTTTTTCCGCAAAACGGAAATTTTGACATTCCAAACAAAATTTCTTAAAGAAAAAGTCAAGATTTCCTAACTGTTAGGAAATATTCATTGCCTTACAGTTAGGAAATCTTAATCGTAGAAAATAGTAGTTTGTGCAAAAAGAGTGGATGGATATAATGATCATATCGCACGAAGACGAAGTTTTTCATTTGAGTGCGATACGAACAATCCACTCAAGTTCTACAGTATATTTTTTCTACAACCCATTAACGAAAATCTACATATTTTAAAAATTATTTTACGTTATTAATGGCAAATCGAACACCTGGAAAATTTCTAATTCCATTTGAGCTTTCATTTTTAATCCGATTTTGGTGAAATTTTCAGTAAATGCCAATAATAATAATAATAATAATAATAATAATAATAATAATAAAAAAACTTTGGGTAGACAGCAACCTTGATTTTTTTGTATATCTCCGAAAAGTATTTATGTTGTATATTTTTTAAAAGGAATAAAAAAAATACGTGTGGCACTCGGGGACTGCCGCGGTAAAGCTATTGCATAGCTTTTTTTTGTCAACTTATGAAATTATAATTATTTATTTATTTTATTTATTCAGTATTTTTTTTTCTTTGGTATTAATTCAAGTTTTTTCTTTGATATTAATTCAAGTTTTTTCTTTGATATTAATTCAAGTTACACTTTTTGAGCGTGGTGACCGATAAGAAAACAATTTTTTTTCTTTTATTGAATAAATGAGAAGTTAATATTGTTTAAAATATTTTTATTATCTTACAATACATGTAGGCTATTCAGGAATTTTTATCATTGAAACTATAGGTTTATGGTAACTGAAATAAGAAACATAAGTTTGAAACTTGGTGTCCTCTAAATATCTGGAAAATACTGTGTCAATGGTGGTCCCATATTTTGTTGTGGATTCTTGTGGATCATTATTCATTTTCAATTTCAATTTTTCCGAAATAGAAAAGAGATAGAATCAGTTATGAGCAGTTAGCAGCTAGTCTACACGCATACGTCTAGTCGCACGCACACAAACACCGTGCCGAAGTCTGCCGAACTGAAACGACGTTAGACGTTGCACGGCTTTCAACGCCACACCGCTGTGCCGGTCGGAGTGGGGGTGTTAGGTTTATTTTCGTTACGGAATTTCTAATTCGATTTTTCGGTTTTTCGATTTTTCGATTTTTCGATTTTTTGATTTTTCGATTTTTCGATTTTTTGATTTTTCGATTTTTCGCTTTTTCGATTTTTCGATTTTTCGATTTTTCGATTTTTCGATTTTTCGATTTTTCGATTTTTCGATTTTTCGATTTTTCGATTTTTCGATTTTTCGATTTTTCGATTTTTCGATTTTTCGATTTTTCGATTTTTCGATTTTTCGATTTTTCGATTTTTCGATTTTTCGATTTTTCGATTTTTCGATTTTTCGATTTTTCGATTTTTCGATTTTTCGATTTTTCGATTTTTCGATTTTTCGATTTTTCGATTTTTCGATTTTTCGATTTTTCGATTTTTCGATTTTTCGATTTTTCGATTTTTCGATTTTTCGATTTTTCGATTTTTCGATTTTTCGATTTTTCGATTTTTCGATTTTTCGATTTTTCGATTTTTCGATTTTTCGATTTTTGATTTTTCGATTTTTCGATTTTTCGATTTTTCGATTTTTCGATTTTCGATTTTTGATTTTTGATTTTTGATTTTTGATTTTTGATTTTTTAATTTTTTGATTTGTCGATTTTCTTTTATTGAATAAATGAGAAGTTAATATTGTTTAACGCCGCACCGCTGTGCCGGTCGGAGTGGGGGGTGTTGGGTTTTTTTCGTTACGAAATACGAAATTTCTTGATTCGGTCGCCGCGCTTAAAGCCCGCAATAAAAGCTATGCAATAGCTTAAAAAAAAATTAACGCGTCATTCTGTATTAAACCTATAAAAATTTGCTGCGAATGGGAGGGTTTTCCACCGTTTTTTTCTTTTTCTCAGTTGTTATGTGACGTTTGTCAAAAATATGAATTTTGTCTTGGAGTGAAGTTGGTATTTATTAATCTATTTTTGATAATATCGAAAAATGTTACGAAGAGAAGTTGATTAGAATTGATGCAATGCAATTACATCAATGTACTCCGGAAAATAAGATTTCATTATTTTTTTATAGAAAATCAAGAAGTTCCAGTTCTATAGAAAGTAATAATACATTTTTTCTACACCCGTATTATAATAATGCACTTATATGCCCATAATCCGTTTCATAATGATACCCATTATGATACAGATTTTTCATTACGATACAGATTTTTAATCAATAGAAACCTACAATTTTTCAATCAAGCATGCTGTTTGACGTTTGTCCTAGGTTCCTATGTAATTATTTTAGTTGTCAAAACGTATTAAATTTTCGTAGGTAGCTAAACTTCGATAATTATAATATTAAAATGTCTGATATTAGCGATATAGAAGACTCCTCCACACATATCGGAGAAAGCAGAAAATACAGTACAAAATATTTTACCGCAAAAATCTAGGGAAATACCAATACCTGAAGTAATACCATTAATTACAATTTTGTAGAATTTTTTATAGAAATACGAGTAATTACTGTTATTGTGTTCAATACCAATATAAATATAATATTTATAGGTCTTGATTATTTATCGGGTGTAGAAAAAATAGCGTATGCAACTCTCATGTAATGGTTATTAAAACACTCGCATAAACCATAGAAACTCGCCTTTGGCTCGTTTCGTATCCCGGTTAATGCTCGTGTATTAATAACCATCATTACATGATCGTTGCATAATATACTATTGTGATGTCAACATTTATGAATTCTATGATCAATTCTACACACTTTTTAGGCAACATGTACCAACATCTCTAATCGATGCACTAATTTGTTGTTTCTTATCTAAAAAGAAAATAGTACGACATAGAGTTTATTATATAATTCGTTTACCTAGTAGAAACGGTTAGATGAAGGTGTAAGACATTACATAAAAATCTGAATGTGTCCAACACATGACTTTCCTATCTAGTTATTACAGGCTTTTTTCGGTTATTTTGTACAACCTATTGTAGCACCTCTGTAAATATTTAGAGTTTAACTTAATATATACATTTTCCACATACATCTAACTCGAAACATTTTTCTATATATATTCATTGCCAACGAAAATGCTGAAAATGTAACGGCCCACCCTCGGTATCCCATTTTGATCATTGTTTTCCTCTCTGAAAGGTTATTATTTGCCTCACAAGTTTATTTTAATTTAAATTCTACTTACAGTATTTGGCCTTTTTCTCTAGTAGTAAAAGTGATCGTCTAGTTCAGTGGTTCTCAAACTTTTTTGGCGACGTAACCTTTTTGAAAAGTGAAATATTTGACGGAGCCTCCTTGCTCTAGCTTCTTGCCAGGTCCCTCCCGTTTCTTTGTCCCTCCCGTTTCTTTGTTCCTCCCGTTTCTTTGTCCTCCCGTTTCTTTGTCGCCTTCCTTTTCTTGACGACTTCTAAAAAATAGGTCCTTCAGCCAAGTCCCGTTGAAGCGCTGGTCTAGTTAATCAATTCATAAATTATATACCCACGTTGTGATAATGTTAACTACAATAAACCAGGATTCGATGCAAAGTTTGGTGCAAATTGATAAATAAAACATACAAATTCATATTTAAACTCTTTTATTTTTCATACTTTAAATGTGAGGCAATAATTAGCGAAGTATATTACAATTGGTACTATTTACTGAGATCTCACTTGAGTTCCGTTCAAACGCAGACCACGTTCATTTGCTATCAAGATATATTTATTTAGTTTGATGACCAACGGAGTTAACGACCCAGACAGCACACCAAATCCTTTGGATATCTACTGAACATCCCAATATCCACTGAATGTCCAGTCCATGGTAGATATCTATTTTATATCCATGAAATGTAATTTATAGACATGCAAATGTCCATAAATAATAGTAATTATACAGCAATTATTAAAAAAGTACGCCATTGTGGCTAATAGTACCGTTCAGATATTTAAAATTAATTTTTTTAAGGTGTATTCAATATCCCATAAACATCCACTAAATATATCAAAGTCTAGGCGCGAACGCCAACCATCGTGGATATCCACTAGATGTTATTTGATTCTGCTTACTAAGTATAGATGGCGATACCACTATCGCATCTACTCATGCTCGACCCGCCGTAATTGAGTTCGATCGAAATTTGTGTTCTAATCACTTCATTGGAGACTGGAGTCGAGAATTTTCATTTATTGCTGAAGAGTCCTAATAAGGATGACTTTCTCCTTAGTAGGCAAAATCATGTTGAAAATATTTTGAGTGTTGAAAATATTTTTTATCTCTGCTATTTTCTTTCGAGGTTATTCAATAATCATTGGTTACTTATGAACCTCTACTAAAGATACCCATAAAATATTTGACTGAATATCCGAATATCTCCTATATCCTGTGATATAGACGGACATTTGGTTGGTTATCCATATTGGATATATTGAATATCCACAAAATATATTATGTGGATATCTCTGGGATTTCTTGTATATTCTGGAAGATACCCATTGGATATTTTGCTGAATATCCATTAGGATATCTTCTATATTCTGGATATAGACGGACATTTGGATATCCATATAAGAGGGAAAGCCCACTCAAGTGACATGTCGCGCGCGACTGATCGCGCGCGGCAATACATTTGATGTTTTTAAATGACTCAAAGCCCATTAACGCGGTTCTGTCGCGTGGTCATTTAAAAACATCAAAAGTATTGCCGCGCGCGACATGTCACGTGAGTGAGGCTTTCCCTCTTAGATCCACAGAATATTTCTGATATCCTGTGGATATATTGGATATCCACAAAAGATATTCTGTGGATATCTCTGGGATTTGGTGTGCTGTCTGGGGAACAGCATCAATTCGCCAGTTGATTAACTACTGTGTTGATGTTGATTTGATTCTATTCTAGATATACACAGGTTGCACCCTCTTAGGTAAATATTTCGACGAGTATAGATGACCAACGGAAATAACGAACAGCGCCAATTCGCCAGTTGGTTACCTTACTATGTTGATTTCACATATACTTTGTTTCAAACCTTGTAGGATGGGTGGTTTAGCATATAGGTGTCACCCCTTGAACTAACGAACAGTGTATTCACCAGTTGGTTAACTTACTGTTAAATTTTACCATCTTGGTTTGTACAATTTATCCAAGATATCACATCCCTGTATATTTCTAAAATTATGATTTTTTTACTTTCTATTGAAGTGACTTAATATAACCTTGTATATTTTTTAACCTCACGATATAAAAATGCTTCCACTTAGCAATGATCAGGCGACTTAGCAATGATCAGGCGCAGATTATGTTTAGTCATAGGAAAGTTATTTTTTGCTGTAGTGTTATCGCTATAACTTAAAAGCTCCCTGGAAACTCTACAGGCAGCTTCTTGTTTCATTCCATCTTTCCTTAAATTTTACAAGAGAATGTTTCTTAATTAGGTTTATCACTATCGATGTTGTCAATCCAATGGATGGTCCAAGTCCAAAAACTATTTGGTTGGCTATGATCAATATGATCAATATGTTTGGTTTCCAAGGACATCCATATTTGTGAAACATACTCAAGATGAGGTCTTACTAAGGCATTATATAATCTGATTTTGGTGGTAATCCTAAATTTTTTTGTATTTCTGATTTAAAAATCCAAAGCTTTTATTGCTTTTTTTAGTTATGTGTAAGAAATGGTTATTGAACTTCAAATTAGACTGAAGGATAACTCACAAATCCTTTACCTCATATTCACGATTTAATGTGACATCAGAGTCTAATGTAAAAAATTAAGAGACTACGGATCCTTACAATTTAAAATATGCATATATTTGTGTTAAATAGACGGATAAAAAATGTTGATTTTTATTTACAACTATAATAAGAAGCTATTAAAAAATTAAGAGCAATAGAACATATTTCAACAAATTTCTATAGGTACACATATTTTTGATACCTGATTATCAAAAACAATATATTTTTTGGAGTGGCAACAGGTTTAATAATACACAACTATTATTTTGTTATAAATATTTATATTATAATATTTATAATTACCATAATAGTTGATATAAGGCCTTTAAAAATAATATATTTTGATTTAATTGTTGAATTTATAATAATAATAATAATAATAAAGGTCTTTATTGTTTTCATTACAGCATTTTACAAAATTAATATTACTAATAGTTTATTAAAGAAAACAAAAGGCGAAGTTCACTTTCCAAAGTTTAAAAAAAAACACTTGGAAAATGTTCTTCCACTTAACCCAATGATGGTGTTTATATACATATGTAAATACGAGTAGGTATATGAACTAAATCTAAACATATTGAAAAATCAAAATAAAAACAAAAAACTATATCTTTATATTTTTATATTTTAGAGGGGACAGGTAGAACAATTACGATTTAAGTGCATTGCTTGCTAAATAACAAGGTTTTGTATTTACATTTGAAAGTAAGAGGGTTAAGATTTTTAAATATAATAGGAACAGAATTATACAATTGAAAAATTTGATATGAAAACGAACGTCTAAATAGTTCGGATCTAAATTGAGGTGGTGATAGTAGACCTTTGAATCTTAAATTTAAGTTGTGAACATCTGTCCTAAAGGATATTTTTTTGTAAAGATAAATGGGAATTTTATACAAGACAATTTTGTGGTATAGCGTAGTTGCATGATGAATTCGTCGGTTTTCCATATTTAGCCAACCGATTTCTTTGAGTTTATGTGATATCCTTTGATATTTTCTTATACCGTATATGAGTCTTAAGCAACTGTTTTGTATTTTTTGTATTTTTTTTTTAAGGTTACTGTTAAATTTGGACCATAGACAGAATCAGCAAAATTAAAATTTGATAGTACAAGTGATTCACATAGTGATATTTTAATACTTTTAGGCAACAACTTACGATTACCGTATATCAATTTTAATGAGCTATAAGCTCTCTGAATCAATTTAGTGATGTGTTTTTCAAACCTTAATTCAGAATCAATTAAAACTCCTAAGTTTTTAGCTTCATTTACTATGGTTAGTCTATCATTATTAATTTCAATACCTAATTCTTCAATAATTTTGTCACGGTTACGACTTGATCCAAACAACATCACATTAGATTTTGAAGCATTAATTAGTAAACAGTGCTCGGTTGCTGATCCAACAAAAGTATTCAAATCACGATTAATTATCTCACACGCATTTTGTGATAGATCTGGAGGGAAACTGTAATAAATCTGAGTGTCATCGGCATATAGGTGAATTTTACAGTTTTCTAAAGAATTAATAAGGTTCGAAGTGTATATTGAAAAAAGCAGAGGGCCTAAAATGGAACCTTGGGGTACGCCCGAGTGAAGATTTAAAGATTCTGATTTATGTTCATCGATTTTAACACATTGTTTGCGATTTTCCAAAAAATCTTTAATAAATAATATAGCGTTGTCAGCAAAACCTATATAATGCAAGATGCTTAATAATAAATTATGATTTATCGTATCGAAAGCTCTACTAAAATCTAATAGAGTTAAGATAGTACAATGCCCTTTATCAGTTGCAATTTTCCTTGTCGCGTTGTTGTTTACATTTTGCAGAGAACTATTGTGTTCTACTTTTAGCTGATAAATCATGTGCATGTAAATGGGTTGAATGTAGACAATGTTAATGTTTTTGCTACTACTGCTAGCTGGGAATGCTGGGCTGAAATATCAACAAAAAAAACAAGGAAGCACAAAGACTAGATCAGTTTCTATCACTTATACTCTTACAATTTACAACCAGTAAAGTAACTGGAATGTTGGAAATACCTACTTCGCAAAAACATATTAAACACAAATCAGTCGAATGCAATGTATTTTCTTTTTATATTACACATTTTTAGCTTGATTACTTCTAGTACTCTATTTATTCCAATGTCCTCAAATACGAGCAATAATACGTAACAATAAGGATGTAACACACATTGAAGTGTATCCCGTTCTTGCACAAAATTTGTAAAGAAGACGATCCCAAATTATTTATAACTTCGTTATTTATGAAAATACTCGACCCATTCTTGCACCAAATGATAGCTTATGCTTTGTAGAAGCTCATGCAACACCTATATTCATTTTGAAAAAATAATGGCCGGTCCCCTTCTTGCACCAAGGTTCTCTATTTTGAATTTTTGCGCTGTCTTTCAAATTTGCTCTATAACTATTATTAAAAACTCCAGTTTATCCAAACCTCTCTTTTTTTAGGAATCGAAAATGTACACAACAACTATTGCACTTTTGGGCATCATTCTGTATCTTCTCTACCGTTACTTAACCCGTCACCACGATTATTGGAAGAACAAGGGAGTCCCATTCGAGAAGCCCTTCTATTTAGCCGGAAATTTTTGGGAAGTCTTCACTGGGAAAACTCAAATCGGAAAACATTTAGGACAGTTATACACCCGATACACCTCGCCGTATTTTGGAATTTACATTTTAGGAAAACCTTACTTAGTAGTTAGAAGCCCGGATATTATAAAAAATATTGCTATTAGAGATTTTAAAAATTTTGATGACAGAACTTTTGCCTGTGATAAAAGTGCCGATGAACTAGCTGCTAATAGTTTGTTTATAATGAGGAATCCAGATTGGAAATACATAAGGAGCAAATTAACCCCGATTTTCACATCGGGAAAATTAAAACTGATGGTTAACATCGTAAAACGTTACGCGGAAGACATGCAAATCTACTTAACGAAATGCGACGATGGAATCATAGAAATCAAAGACATCTCCTCCAAATATATGACAAACGTAGTGGCATCCTGTTTCTTCGGATACGAAGCCAACGCATTCAAAGATAAAGATTCGGAATTTTTCAAATTCACCAAAACGATGTTCGCTTCGAAAAGTTCATTTCTCAGTTTGTTCTCTTATTTTTTCGCTCCGATTTTGGTGTCGTTACTAAAGCTGTCGTTCATGGAATACGGTTTGTTGAAAAGGATCTTTTTAGATACTTTGGATTGCAGACGGAAGCATAATTTCAGGAGAAATGATTTCGTCGATTTGTTGTTACAGTTGAAGGATAACGTTAACGATGAAAAGGTGAATATCGATTTTGGTAAGTCGTTTAAACAGTTTCTTCCTTAACTAAACATTTGTCCAAGTAATTTTCGTACATAATCTGTTTAAATAACGGAACTTTGTGCGTTAAGGAAGGATTTTGAACAGCACACAAGATTTAGTTTGTGACTTTAATATTAGTTTTATCCCCAAAAACGTATGATATTTGATATTAGGATAGGTAAGTTTATCCAATAGATAGAGATGCAGAGTCCAGTAGATGGTTTGCAAGTAGAGGAGGTCTTCAGCGTCTAAGAGAAGACGGGGAAAGTTTTTGCTACGTTTGGTTGGGAACCAAAATAAATAAATAAATATTTACCTATTATATAAGAAAATATTAATGGCACTCCTTCAAAAATCAAACTTTTTTGGAATAATTCCTAATGAACTGTGTAATGCAGTTGATACAATATAATCTCAAAAAACTTCAATTTTGTATTTTTCATTTTTTTTAGGCGTGGATCGTATGGTAGCCCAATCGATGACATTTTTCGTAGCAGGTTTTGAAACGACCAGCAACGCTGTAGCTTTCGCCTTGTACGAACTCTGCCTCAGAAACGATTGTCAAGACAAACTCAGAGAGGAAATCAACGAGTATATAAAAACGGATGAAGATGTCACGTTCGATAAAATACAAAAACTGAAATATCTGGATATGGTTTTATCAGGTAAACGCTTTTCCTACATATTGCGCTCCTTGTACATTTCATCTGTTTAAACTTTTTATGTTGGTAATATTGATGTTTTGTTTTTAAGAGTTGGCAACACTGATATTGTCAATTTGAAAATGAGTTGATATATACATTTTTTATGTTCAAGTTGGATTTTTTAATCATCCATTTGAAGTAAATGAACATTATTGTTAAAAAACTGTTTAAATCCAGCATAATACAAGTTATCGATGCAGAATTTACAGAAAAATACATCATTTCTAGAAGAAATATTATACATCGCATCGATTATTGTTTATTCGCTCCGTGCGCGACAGCAGCGCCAATTCGTTTGAGTACTAATGGACTATTTCTGCGTATACTGACAAATACAATTTTTAATATAATTCGTAATTAAAAAGTATATATGTTAGTTTTAATAAAAGTATATGGATTTGTAAAAGAAGTAAAACATTAATTTATTATTATTATATATTTTTATCGCTTAAATTAAAGAAAATTATGTATAATCAATAAAAATCAATAATAAAAGATAGGCAGGCAACAGTATTTACTGGAAAATGTATGAGAAGTTGCCTAAGTCTAATAAGTTGTCATTGAAGAATTAGTCTATTCTGTCAAAATAAAAAAAAAACCATTTAATAATAGCGTGAAGTTAAAATGTATAAAAAAAGTATCGTTACTTATATTTTCATTTTTGTTCGAAAGAAAACAGAATAAATGATTAAAACTGGTTTCCCATCAGTAAGTCACAAAATTGCATTCCAGCCACAAATAATAATCAAAGGCAGAAATCTTGCCCTTGCTGAATGAACATTTAAGAATAAAGGGATATTAAAGAACATCGTAAAATGATAATTTATTGTTTATTTAAAACCTTTCTGATGTTTACTATTTCCAGCATTACTGTTATTATTGCAAAAATAAAGGTAATTTTTCTTCTTATTGTACATCTATTCATTTATTTCTTTGATTTAATTTCCACTTTGCTACTGAAATTTCACTGTTTTTGTTGCTAGTATTTGTAAAATTTTCAACACAACAACTCCGGTTGCTTATTATATTGTTTTTACCTACTTTTTAAAAAAAAAGTAAAATGTATACGTGTATTTGATATGCCAAAATTACAAAATAACGCCCTAAAATGCACGAATTATCCGCAGCTAGCGCTAGTATCGCTTTTGCTTCCCTTTCCATGAATTTGCACGGAGCGAATAGCGTCCTCATACCAAAATCATATCATATACGCCTTCCTCTTCCTGACTCATATACTACTTCTAAAAAAGAATAAATAAAAGATCCTCAAGCCAAGTCCCGTTGTAGCGATAGGTACTGCTTTTTTTGTTATTTTCTTCCCGGAGCCCCCACAAAGGCGTTATGGAAACCCAGGGCTTGTTTTGTGTTTTATATCAAGATGGGTCGCCATAAAAAGGAATTATCTGATAGAGTAAAATACTTTCATCAAGATGGGTGATACTAACATAGTTATGTGCAAATATTGCAACGTGCGTCTAGATGGCGATGAAACAGATACTTTGAAGAAACATACGATGTCTTCTAACCATTTGAAGAAGAAAACCAAGCCTCAACCAGGTCCCTCTGTAACGAAAAGGCATCTACAATTGTCGGCGGGTTTAAAGTGCAAAAGCGTGTTAAAATAGAAAGGAAACCTTTGTAGAAGATACCGTAAGAATGTGTTTGAAAGCTAACATTCCAATGCATAAACTGGACCATCATGCTGTTCGCTACTATTTGAATAAATATGTGCCCGGTTCAGGTAACCTTCTGGCGATACTTTGAGAAAGAAGAAACTAAGGAGAAACTAAAAAATTAGCCTGCAGTAGTAGTGGCCGACGAAACATCCGACAAGATGTGTTTTTGCAGTCTTATTTAAAACTGTGAATGCAGAACCAGAGCAGTGTTGCTTTTTAGCAAGAGTATATTTTTGAAACGCCGCCAATGGTTCTACTTGCTCACAAGCCATCATGGACACCTTGAAAGCTTACGACATCGACTACTCTCAAGTGCAAGGATTAGTATAAGACTCTGCACGTTACATGACTGCATGTTTTAGCATGCTAAAAATACTAATTTGTGACCATATTTTTACACTATTAATGTTGGGCACAAAAAGTGAATCTTGTAGGTGACATCTTTATAAAAGAGTTTAAAGAACTGAATACGATTGTAGCCAAGACGAATGCAACTTTTTTGCACTCAAGAAAATTGAAAAGTGCTTATTTGAACTACTTGCAAGAACACGCTCCGCGACTAACTCCGAAACTTACCTCACGAGAGTTGTAACTAGGTGGAATTCTTGGTTCAATTCTGCAATTAATTTGAGCGAATATGTGAAGCATATTATTGCTTTTATAAATGACCATAAAGACGATAACACGAGTACTAGTTATCTAACAGAATGTTTTGAAAATGAAACCCTGGCTCGCAAAATACGAGTTTAGTTGACATTCATATCAGTGTTCTGTCTAAAAATAATGAAAATAATTGACAACTTGGAAGGATCAAAATATCCATTCGCGAACATTTTATGGAGCAAGTTAGAATATTTAAAGTCTTCTCTTGAGCGACAACGTGAAGGTACGTTTGGAGAAAAAACTAAAAGCATTTTGTTAAACGAAAATGGTGAACTCCATCAAGAGCACAGTATTATGCTGAAGACAGCAGCACACAAGAGCTTGGATAAATTGTCTTCACATATGAGGTCCAACTCAACAAACGATTCCTATACCTGCACATTGCCAAATTATTTTGCCCATCAGTAGCAGCGGCCGTCTCTGGTCACTAACTCAACACTGGAGAGCTTCTCCAGAATACCATTTTTCAGGGATATACCACAGGATGAACTTTGGATATGCTAATTTCCAGAAACAACTCGTCAATGTGGTTCAGCAAGAAACTCCTGTTAACGTCACGCATATTTTACTTGCATCAAAATGTTGCTACCTGAAGTTCGTGAATGCAGCTATACAAAGTCTTCATAGCTCAGTCAACAGTGTAGATGCTGAAAAATATTTCAGTATCTACAATATGTCGTCATAAATTACCGAAAGCAAAAGCAAGAAAATGTAGAAACCACTACGATGTTAGCTTTTAACTAACTTTTCTCTAATAAATATTTTGTTATTTTAATGATTATGGTAATAAATACGAGTTTTTAAATATTTTTCGTTTTTTTATGCGAATAAATGCGAAATTTTGGATTTTTAATTTGTATTTATGCGAAATTTCGGTTTTTTTAGTTAAGAAATATACGTAAACCTGACCATTTTCCATAGCTTTTATTGTGTCGTTATTGATTAGGAATATCTATGGTTTTTGTATATTTATTTAATACAAATCAACAGTATTATTATTAGGTACCTATTCTGCTCTTTCAATCTATCGTTAACTAAATAAAGAATAATCCACAAAAATAGTTTCTAAAGTAGGCCATAACCAACAAAGACAGAGATACAAGTTATGTCTCTGATAACTACGCGCTGACATTTAAAAGAAAGAAGAATCGTATGCTAGATATACGTGCGAGTTTTTCCAAGGCCTACTTTAAAAACATTTTTTGTAGATCACTTATTAGTACCTATAATAATTATTATAACACTTAAATATTATTTATTTCTATTACAGAAACTCTAAGACGATATCCTTTCGGCCCCTTCTTGAACAGGGAATGTAAGGAGGATTACGTCATCGAGCAGACGGGACTTGTCATAGAAAAAGGCACTCCGGTTTTGATACCTTTGGATGGTTTGCACTACGATCCGGAATACTTTCCCAACCCGGAACAATTTGATCCCGATAGGTTTATAGACGACAAAAAACACGATTACACGCAATCCTGCGTGTATATGCCGTTCGGATTGGGGCCCAGAAACTGTATTGGTAAGTTTTGAGATGTTAAAAAATAAATTTCAACGTGTCGAGCGATAAATGGTCGTTATCGCAAAGGAATAGATTTGGGACCTTTACTATTATTTGTTGTATGTCCCCAAATCGCAGAATTCTTTATAGTAAAATCACACTAAGCAATCCACAAAATGGTGGATCGGGATTGTTTAGTGTGAAACAGAATATGGTTTTTGTCAGATTATATTATTATCGAATCTGGCATTGCTACTAAAAAAATAACTTATTTTATTTACCTATAAATAATTGGTTTTTTATTTATTTACAGGAGACAGATTCGGACTCATATGTGCGAAAATCGGCCTAGTGTACTTTTTAAAGAAATTCAAAGTTGAAAAATGCGATGAAACACCGGTACCTCTGGTCTTGAATCCAAGGACGCCCTTTATGGTGCCACTGAATGGACTGAAGATGAGAGTGCAGAAACTGTGAAATACAAATTTAGTTTTTTTTTTATAATTTTGTACTGTAGATTAGATTAATAATTGTAAATGTATGGACTTATCTTCTGTGAACTGTGAAATTTGTCATAATGAGGAGTAAATGAGTTTTTTTATTTAAAATGTTTTATTAAAAAATAGGTTTTGATGGATGTTATATATTTATTACTGACTATAAATTACTATTACAATAAACACTATAACTTATTTAATACTTTTATTGTACGAGATATTTTACATGTTACTTCATGACTCAACACTACATGGCATACGACTACTGACGTATATATGACATCTATCAATATGAGGAGGGTGTACCGATATAACAATGGACTAGCTTCGCACGGTGATATCGTCTAAAGTATTTATTTGAACAATATAGTGTAAAAGACAATGTAAATCTATATTAAATGCACAAGGTAACTTACATATTTATCTGAACAAAGATTAATAATGAATTAGAGAAAATAGCTTCGCAAATAACCTATCGTTGTTTACAAATCTGTAATAGTTATTGCGAGTGTACCTTAGGAGATAGACACATACTATCACGAACTTTTCTGTAGACCTTTTTAAGACCTACAATTTTCTTGTACATTGTTTTGTTTTATGAACTTTTTTCACGAATATATATTCGTACTTTTTTTGTAAACAACATTTAAGTCAATACAACAATAGATAAGAGACTCTTATCCTCATATTGGTGCTTATAGTTTATGGATTTTGGCCTGAATCTGAACAAGAGTATCATATAAATTTTCTACAGCTTTCATCAGTTTTGTTTAGGTTATAATGTTTTACAGTCGAAAACCCATAAATTAATATACTGTACCGAGAAGATAACATTGTGGCTACTATAATTATAATGTGTTAACCGAATGGGAAGTGTACACAGTATCCCAAGTTGAATACTCTTGCTCGTACAATTTGGCGATGATGTGAACAGTTGCCCTTTTATATTTTTCAAATTTTTAAAAGAATAACCTCTCGTTCCGGTATCCCGGAAAAAACTTATTTGTAAGTACAATAAATACAAAATGTAAACGATTTATATCTTGTCTGGGAGACCCGAACGCAGTAGCCAGTAATGCACTTTTGACTGGTTAAAATTTTTAATTTTGTACATATTTCTGACTTTTAATACAATGAAAAGGTGGAAATCGTGGTGGTGGTGGTACCATTATGGGATTCTCAGCCTTATCACTGACTTCTCGTCTCAGTACGAATATGAACGGTATTTTTTATAATTAAAATTAAAACTCGTTTTTATTATTATTTCATAATATCTTTTATTTCTTATACGCTTTTTTCAAAATTCGAAACAACAGGCAATTCCGACATAAATGTACATATATATATTAAAAATTTATAAATCTATTTATAGGGAAAAATATTAAATTTTATATTACAAATAAATTAAGGCAACACTTATGTTTCGACAATTTCGACAGGAGAAAGTGATAATGAACCTAGTTCTTCGTCTTTTACATCTATCAATTCTTGTCTGAAACAGAAAAATAAATATTATTAAAAAAATGTACAATTAACTATTTATCGACAAATAGTAGACAATGATCCACACAAAATGTTTCTAAAGTTGTCTTTGGAAAAAATCACGCATTTCGGATTCTATACAATTATTTTTAAAATGACAGTTTCGATTTCATTCATATTTATCACCAACATAAATCGTATTTTCTTGTTTATCATGGCCTACTCTAGAAACATTTCTTGTGGAAGAATCTTTATAAATTATCATTACAAATACAGCTGTATTTATTTCAATATTTGGAATAAACTAAAAAAAATTACATTTGAATCTTTATAAAATCACGTCATAGTGAGTCAACCAATTTGTTCCAAATAAATAATGGCGTAGATTAAATTGGATTATTCTTATTTTTCGGCTTGAAAAACATATAATTTACGAACAGTTCATCCCAAACTGCTATATTCGTTTGTTTTGTTACAGTGTGTTTCATAAAGTTGGATTCATATGTTTTTTTATTAATATTACCATTGGAAAAAAAACGTCGTTGGGCAATCGCCTCTGCTTATTTAAAGACTTAAAATATCAAAATTGGCTACTGACATTAGTTTTCTGTCAAATTCGCATTCAAAAAATTTTTTTTTAATGATTTTTAAATAAAATATGGATTTTGACAGATAACTAATGCAGCTATTTGAAGTTTTTAAAAAAGCAGACTTGAAAAATTCCCATATGGATCCAAATTTAGAAAACTTTGGTGAAAAAACCATTAAACGATTCAAATGGGTAGGAAAATATTTTGAAATACATCCAGTGATATCGGGGTGATCATTTTACAGAATATCTCCATTTTTAATGGTTACAACTCAGTATAGCCGACTCAAGTTTACCAGTTTTGAATTTTACTACTTAACTGACAGGTCAAGTAGGCTTTTGCGCTTTGAAATACAACCGAAAAGTTAACGTTTTTCGCGAACTGACATTAAGTGACAGCTTTGTCGCTCGTCGAGCGGAAAACATGACAGCTTTGTTATTTGTACGTAGTTTGATGTTTTTAGTTTTATTCTTCAAGTTAACACTGACTTTGAATATCAACTGCTTCCTTTATGATTAACGTAGGTATTATACATTATACACTACTTACGACAAATTTTCACTTTTCATATCTTTTTCTTAAAATAATGTGATCGTTGAAAAATTATTGTGTGTATTTTGAGCGAAAAGTTCGTTGCCGCTTTCGACAGATTGCCGCGCTCCGCTACGCGTCACGCGGTCAACTTTCTGTCTCAAGCGGAAAAGTATCACTTTTCGCTCCTAATACACAAATAGCTATTTTCGGTTCTAACTTCCAACCGGAGCAAACTATCAACTCCCAATTTCTTGAAGAACTTAAAAGTTTTATATCATTTTTTGATTTAATGGTAAAACAAAAGAAAAAATAATTTTTAGAGGTAGTGTAAGGAAGTTTCTTGGGTATTCTTACTATTTTTTTTAATTTTATCTTCTCAGAAAAATTATTTAAGAAGGTATTCTTGTTTAAACGTTTAACCGTTTTTGAATAATTTGATTTTTAAAATGTATTTGCAGATTAAATTTCTAAATTATAGATCCCTAGACTTTAAATATCCCCACACAGTAAAGACCAGTGGATTTAAGTCTGGCGAGCGATCAGGCCAGTGAATAGGTATGTCTGTATCCCGAGATATATCTTTCATAAGCCGTATAAAGTTATAATAGAACAAATAGAAGGTACGATTCATATCTACATCGACGGTTCTAAATCAAAACAAGGCTCAGGATGTGGAATATACTCCAGATCCTTAAACCTAAACATAAAATGGGCTGTGAGCAGTATTTCCAGTGTAGTTTAAACCGAGCTCACGGGGATTCTTATAGCAGCAAAATAAATCACCAGTAATAATATCACTGGAAGAAACGTGCTCATCTCTACATATAGCAGACAAGCACTACTCACCCTGGACAGACCACGAATTTATTTAGGGTTAGTACTAGAATGTCACGAAGTTTTGGCCGAAGTATCCATCAACAATGTGGCCAACTTAAGATGGATCAAAGGTCACGCTACATCGAAAGGTAATCGTCTTGCTGATTCACTTGCCAAGAAGGCAGCCAACCAAATACTTTTTTGACCTGGCCCCTCTATTGGACCTACAACATCGGTAGTGACAAACCTAATTAAAGAACATACAAGAAGCTGCAGACTTGCCAGGGAACTTTTAAGTTATCCTGACAACACTACAGCAAACAGATACTTGACTATGACTAAACAGAATCTGTGCCTGATCACAGGCGTTTTGACTCTACATTGCCAACTACGGAAGTATATCCATATCATGGGGCTGGCAGAATCCACACTCTGCAAAGGATACAAACAAGATTTATGTTCGGCGACAATTGGCTAACACAGCCGATATAAGAGAAGTACCTCTTGGCGACGTTGTCAACTATATTAAATCTGTAGGCTGGATCACGAGCTATGAGGTGCCTATCTATTTCGGAGGATGCACAATGACCTTAGTGAGGCCTAAGTACATCTTCTAAAATTTGAAACAACTGATTTTCCAAAAAATCTAAATACATATCGCCGTTCAAAATGCCTAGTTAAGTAAAAATCTAAGGAATCTATTACTCATTGTCGTTGCTCAAACATTATGTATTGTTGGGTCCTTCTCGTTGATTTCTCCTCGTTGATTTCTCCAATCGATTCCAACACTCTCGTCAGGGGAGGACGTTTTAGCCAAATCAATTTGCAACTTTATTTTTTACTGTATTTATTTTACCATAAAATACCTTTCAGTTGTTGTATATCACAATTAACAATAACTTTTATCACTTAAGAGTTTGTTGAGGCAGTGAATTGACGAAAACGATCTAAATTAGCAGAATGTGTCTCATGGAAGTCTACTCACCTCGAACGATTACATTACAATAATTAATTTGACCTTTTTTTATAACTTCCGACTCTAACAAAAAAAAAGGAAGTTCCCCTCTTACTTTATTAGGCGCAATATTTAAATTATTACACCTAATCGGCTATTGCACCTGAATCATTGTAGGGGTGGTTATACCTTTCCCAATCTACTATTATGCAACCAGTATTACACCTAAATGTACATATGGTTGAGTATAACAACAACATTATTGTTTTGGACGGTTCCACAACATGTATGTTGATAATGGTATTCCGCACATCAAACCACTGAACTATATATTAAACTGGAAGAACAAAGCCGATCAACAAAATCAAGCCGTATAGCGAGGTGATATTTGACACTTTGACGCCCACATGTGCGTATCGAAATGCACTAAAAAGGATCATCAAAATTAAATTTAACATTCAACTATGACACCTTTTAATTTAAGAAAATCACTTTAAAATGATTTTTGATTAATACGCAGCTAAAACAAATGTCCAAATAATAATAATAATTATTAAAATAGCGCGTTATTAATAAAAAATAATATAATTTGTCGTAGTACGCCCGTGGGAAACGTGACGTAGAATGCTCGAATTGACAGTCTGGCGTCCAAATTGTCATGCGCACCGACCGTTTTTTTCACCCATGTCGACTTAGAAATTAGGAGTAGGGTTTATGTCATATAGCCATCCAGTTTAATATCAAGGTCGGTGCATCAAACGGTTTTTCTTCATCATAAAAATGGGAGTTGTGAGTATTTAAGACGCCTTACCTTGTAAATGTGACATGATTGGTGAAAAAAATGTATTGAAGAAATGTGGGTCTCTTTGGTTTTTTTGTAACAGTGTTTGGCAAAACTCCATTCTGGTTGGTAAATCGTCAGTAAAAAGTTCTTGAACTTTTCGAAAAAGAAAACCATGCAAAGAAGACTGTTCATGCAATACTCTAGTTGTTGTGGATTGCGAATTAAACGACCTATTTGTCTCGTGCTGATCGTTGGGTTTTGCTCAACAATATTTAGAATTTGTTCTTCGGCTTCTACTGTTGTCAATTCTTAGTCGACCTGCATTATTTTTTACTTCCCGTTTTCCTCTTTCCCTAAGTCGCATTTCAACGATAAAAAATGTCCTCAAACTTGATACATTTCGAAGAGGAAATTTTTCTGCTTAACTTCTGACTATAGCATTAGCATTTCCTAGATATTCACCTAACGTAAGTAGCAGGTCGGTATACTCGTCAAATATGTACATGTCTTAACAAAAATAATACTTTCAAGAATAATAAACCACACCGTATCGTCACTTTTACTTGAACAAAATTGTAATATTCCATAGCTTATTTGATAGTTTATATTGAAACAATATATCACAAACTTTTAATGTTATTAAAGATATTATGAATACCATCTATTGTGTGGTTACACTTTAAAAGTCAAATACAGTTCACTCTATCGAGTTTAAACAAGAATACCCTAAGTTTCGGACATCAGTTTATATAGCAAACTGACCATAAGTTTCATCTAAAATATTTGTATTCCTTTTTGACTCACCTTGTATATTTCTCATTCGCATTCTAATGTTAATTATCTAAGTAATCTTTTAAGCTAAATTATGTTATCAATTTGATTCACTACAAATACATAAATGTTTAAACGTTCCCAAGAATAAATTTGCCGAATGCAATTATTAACATATATGAATTTTTAAAACAATCAAGTAGGATACCTACTTACCTTTTTCTAGCTTTGAATATAAAAAAAACTACGGCTGCATTTACTAAGAAAAGAGCTACCAGTATTAAGGAAGGTGCTAAAATACTGTCCGAATCCATTCCTGTGTTTATTTTACTTTGAAAAATTTTGATCACGTCCGTTTGATTCCAGTTAGGGGTTGTTGATTCTGAAAACAAAAATAAAACGTTATTTTAAGGAAGCCATTATTTTGGATAAAGCAAAAGTTGTGTCCACTTATTGGTAAATACTTTTCTATTATGAAAGATCTTGTAAAATAACAGATAATTAAAAATTACACAATCAGTCATAGAAAGATAAATATTACGATATTATTTTATGCGAGGTCAGATTGATATGTTGTTTGAAGATGAATACATCTCTTTCTATTTTTACGTGTTTAAACAATTAAAATGGTTTCAATATTCTATAATTTATAGTTAAAAAGAAACAAAGTGTAAAAATAAAATGAGAGAAGTCAATATTTATTACTAAATGCTCGAAGATTACTAACAATAACATTTAAGGTTAGTCCGCAGAGACTTAAAAAAAATCAAAAATGTAATATATATTCTAGTTTACGAACCGTGAGCCTATTGCGTCAAAATATCTGTCTTTATTAGATGGAAACAAAACTATATTAGACAGACAAAAATTCCCACAAAATTAATACGTCGTAACTAACTACTGTTATAAGAATATTGTCATTATCAATCAATGCCATATTTATTTTCAATGCAATAATTCAATAATTTTCATCATTTTTCTGATTTCCGTCAGAAATTATCAATGTGGCAATGTTGTGATGGCTTATAAGACTTATTATTAAATCATATAGCCGACCATTCTTCTATATATTTATTTTTTACAAAAATATGACAATACAAATTAATGAACTTAAACTTAACAAGTTATAAAGGTAATTATATAAACCAGAGTGCAAAATCGTGCAGATTTTCTCATAGATAATGAGATCCTGACCAATGGTATACGGAACTACCCCTGCGGTATCCTCTTTCTAACAAAAAAGAATCATAGGAACCGGACAACGTGGTAAAGAATTATCGCTACAACCACTAACACAAAAACAAATAAATTATTAAATTATTTTACACTATTCAGTCGAAAAGAATCAAAATACCTTGTTGTCCGTCCCGCATTAGGTCATTGCGCGGTTTGGACGAAATTTGAATCGAAAGTCAGCATACCGTTAATCTGTGTATCGTGAATATATTATTTTTTTGTATTTATTAAAAAAAAAAAGTTGAGCGCTTTGGTGGGTAGGTCATCATTTTTCAAAACTTGTCAAAAAAAAATTTTCAAAAAAATTTTACATCATAACCAATAGGTTAGTCTAACAGGACGTGTGTAAACAAAATGAAAAGTTCTCACCAAATTATCTCCACGTGCGTAAGATACAAATACAAAGACTTTCATTTCTTATCATTCAGTGTGTACAAACCTCATACGAGTACTCTCTTGTTTAATTATGTTATAATATGTTATGTTTGCATGATAATGAGTGTTTTGGTATTCAAATAAACTGTTTTTCTTCGTTAGTTAGTTAATTTATAGAGGGCTATGCTCTTTCTGTAGAGTCTAATAAAGTAAAATTATTTACAAAAAAATATATATAATTTCTCAAAGTATTCTGCTCCATAGTCAATGCATTTTTGCATCCGCGAAAACCATTATTTATTTATAACGTACTAATTAATTTATTTAATACAATGTATCTTCACTTGACAACATTTATATTGAGACTTAAACTAAACGGCAAAAGAATTCACTTCTACATAAAACTGTAACAGTCTAGAAAGAGCCAATCCTATGTAGAATCTCGAAATCTTCTTTCACGTGTCGGACCGCATAGAGAAAATTCCATCAATGTCTCAAGTCTTCGAGGTAGACGGTAGACGGTAGACGGGGAGCGATAGTCAATGCCAGACTAAACGTAAACAGAGAACAAGGTCGGTTTCACACATTGTCCTCTCCGTAAGAAATAGTAGTTCCTCCTGGAACTAAAACTGAATGATTGTATCTGCAACTGGACCCACTTTTACAATTTCTATTCCTATGGAAATAACAGGAGACGGTTTTTGCTGAAACCTAGATACTAGTCGAATAGCTGCAGACTAGTATTTGGACCTCGGTATCTTGGAAAATTACTTCCACCATGTTTCTAATGAAACCTCCAATTTAGCTGATTGACCTTGAAGTTCTAGCAATCAACTCAGGAACTGTGAGCAAGTCTTGTTGTTGCTCAGTTGTAACCCCATGTCTTGCTTTTCCGTTACCTTCATATGCACCGATAAATTCTTCAAAGACAAGCACAGGTATTTCCTGGAGCTGGTTTACTTCTTCTTTCTCCTCATGGTCACCCTCAAATAGCGCCAGCTGGTTTTGGTTCACTACCTTCGGTTTACCGTTCGGGATCTTACTTATACGGTAGGGACATCATTAATTTTTTTTCTTGATGAGGTACGGACCTTCCCAAGACCTTTGAAGCTTCGTCTTTTTGGGTTATGGAGCCAGACTTTGTCGCCTTCCTTGAAACATCCTTCTATGGCTTGGGTATCGTACCGCTTCTTCATTATGTCGCTGGCGATTTAGAGATGCGAACTCATGCTTGTCGTTCATTTCTTCGTAGCTAAATCACATAATCTTCAGCGGCTACGTCTTCTCCAGGTCGGCATTCCAGGGTAGTCTTATCTCACACTCGAACAGCACCTTTGCTTGTGTTTGATCTGTAGATTCATTGACATCGGATCTATATGCTATTGTGAAGAACGAAAGATACTGATGCCAATCTCGCAGATGGTTGGAAACCACTTTTGACAGATATTCGCTCTACCATTCCATCCGACTGTGGGTGCAATACCGTAGTTTTGGTTTTCTTCATGCCTAGTCTGTCACAGATTCCTCGGAAAAACTGGCTTTCAAAATGTCTGCCTTGGTCACTGTGGATCTTCAAGGGCACTCCAAATCTACTGATACATTCTTTAATTAACACGTCTGCAACAGTTGCAGTCTCTTGATTTGAAATGGCGTAAACTTCCACCCACTTTGTGAAATAATCCATAACCACCATCATGTATTTATTACCATTCTCGGTTCAGCAATATCTAAGGCAATCCTCTCAAATTGGCTACCGACGTTGTACTGCTTCATAGAAGCCTGCCTCTGTCGTTGAGATCCATTACTCATAGCACAGGTGGTACATTTCTTACACCAGTCCTTTACATTATCGGAACTGTTCATCCAATAAAACCTTTCACGAACTCTCTGAAGGGTTTTCTTAACACCGAGATGTCCTCCTGATGGACTGTCGTGCAAATGACGAAGTACTTCGGCTACTCTAGTCTTTGTAATGACCAACTCTCTTTTGTTTTCGGAACCATCACCATCAGTAAACGCTTTAATAAACCTTCTTCCAAGATAAAAGAGTCCCACAGAGCCAAAAATGACTTACCTACTGGATAGAGATTTGATACCTCTTGCCAAGTAGGTCGACGATTTTCCTCTTTCCATTGTCGCAACTTCTTTAAAAAGAGATCGTTCTCTTGTTCTTCCCTAAGTTTGGCAGGGGCCCACTCATCGTTGACTACAGTTGTTCTTCAAAGTCCACTTTCTTTGGATTCTGCTCTGTTCCAGTGAGAGCACTCTGCTGGACACGGTCTTCTAGAAAGAGAATCAGCATTTATGTGGCTTATTCCGGCTCTATGTTCGATCGTCGTACTCTTGAAGTCGTTCAATTCATCTGGCGTTTTGACCCTCCGGGTTTTTGAACTGCGTCAGCCACTTAAAGGGCTGAATGATCGGTACGGATTAAGAATATCCTTCCGTATAGGTATTGATAGAAGTGTTCCACGCATTTCAGAACTGCCAGGAGTTTTCTTTTATTGAGAGAGACAAATTTTTTTGCAAAATATCATCGCCTACTGATAGGCTTAGCTGAAAGAGATCAGGACTCGTTATTTTGAAGGATTACTTTTTGAAGTTTAAGTTCATATTGCAACATATTTTTGTATTTATAATATTTAAAAGATTTAGTGACTGTAGTGACTCAAACGCACTACATACTTTCGATCTTAACTAACCGCGACACATGCATCATACATACACTAACAACTTTAGATATCCTTACTTCACGTGGCAGCCATACTGAAGGAATAAACTCGCCTCGTTCGCAACCTCGGTTGCCAAGCAATAACATTATTATTTATTTTATTTTTTATACCATGATTATTTATATACACACTGTCAGTTATAATTTTTACTTGTCACTAAATTTACAATAATTATTCTCTTTATACGTATCAGTTTTTATTTAAACATTTAATTTGACGGGATCTTACAAACAATAAGCTCCCAGTCTGGTGATTAATCAAAAAATATACATCTCCAAATATTTATCTCCAGATGGGACCAAATCAAAACTTAAGACCCAACAGTGACAAACTCCCAAAATCTTATTTTAATGAATTCCCTAAAATATTTACAATACACAAAAAATCTACTATTGGGATAGCAGTAAAGAATTTTACGACGAATTTTGTACAGAATAATAATCTATAAGTAATGTAATAAACCTTATCAAGTTTGTTTCGTATACTAAAATTTAAAGACACATGCAAAAATAGCTAAATATAAATAATCATATACAGGATAGTTTTAAGTAAGTTATTTAGATAGATTTGACAATAAAACTGGAAAAAAGTTTCTTAGACGACTGGTAAGGGGAAAAACACCCATTACCAACTATAAAAGATGATTTTTTTTACAATTTTAATAACGAAAATGTAATTAAAATACTTGAGTATTAATTAATTATAAGAAAATTTGTATATTTTTTTGTTAAAAGCTAGGTGTGGGTAACATCAACGAAGAAAAAAAAAAAGAAAAAAGAATTATATAAAAATTTGGACTCTACTGAATTTGCTTCTGGACCTAACTTACTAAATGTTCATTTGATTGTTTTTCTCTGAGTCTATAGTTGAGAAACAATTTTTTTTAAATAATGCAATATCCTTTGCATTACTGTTTGATCTATTTACTTTATCTTGTATACTTATTTTGTTAGTTGTTATCAAGTATAGGTCGTTGACATTACAGGACCCCCAAAAACAATATTGAAGATAGAACACATGTATTTTTTTGCGAAACAAA